GGTCCATTGTGTTTCAAGGATGTACACAATGGCCTGTTTAGGACTTAAAAAGATAGATGCCCACCCCTTGCCACTAGAAAACGGAGTAGGGTAGCGGGTAGCCAACTCCATAATTAATTCTTTGTATAGCAAAGGGGTATATTTCATAACTTAACTGCCAATTAGACAGTGTATGCCTACATACGTACATGCTCTACTATGCCTAATTGGCCAGGAGGTTGTGAAACCTAGCCCTGTAATTTGAAGAGAATGTACGTGCATATCCATACACCTCCTTTTGGTTAGTGTCCTCTGAAGTCGGGCAATTTTGAATCTTCCTAAAAAAGCCACTGAGTCCTGGGTGTAGCTGGCCGCACTGGAGAGTGAGGAATGCCAACTGAAGCCATAAACGGGGGACAATGATCATTTCCTCTATGCAGCATCTCACCCAAGGCCAGATGGTGCCAAAAGATGACACACTGGGCTGGCTCTCCAGAGCCTTGATCTTAGAGGCCTGCATAAGCCAGGCAACGCTGCTTCAAGGGAAAAGACATGGGGAGAAACCCATTGCCACTGGGAGACAGAAAGGAAAGCATGAAAAACACTGGGCCACCCAAGTTTCAGAAAGCAGCATAAAGGTGTTCGTGCCTAAGTTGGCAAACACTCTGTGTTGGGAACTAAATCACACACACACACACACACACACACACACACACACACACGCACACACACACACACACACACACACACACACACTTACGCACTGGCTGTTAGAACAATGAGTAATTAGAGAGAAAACATTGTGAGCCTTCCTGCCAAGGGCTGGCCCCCTATAACCGCTGGCACTCTCAGAGCCCACGCAGTCTGACGAGTCCCTAACATGGAGAAAGTGGGGCGGGGGGGGGGGCAGGGAGGGAAAACATTTATTCTAGAAAGACAGGGATAGATCCCAACTTGGTCAGACCCATGGGTGAGTGTTCCTCCGATGGTCCGAGAAAATGTTCCTGTCTGACTCATACCCTGCAGCGGACTGTGTGAGCGTTCACACTGTGCCCTGGGTGACAACCCGAAGACTGGTGGTTCTTTGCTGGAGCAGTCGGAGTGCCCGAGACCAGCTTTGTGGACGCTAATAGTAGAACCCTCTGATCTCTCCCTGCTCACTGTAAAGCCACCATCATGAACACGTGAGAACCTGACAGCTGTGAAATTTTATTTCTAGACTTCAACTGGCAGAGAAAGGAAACGAAAACCTCCTTGCTGGCAACAGAACCGAAGTGTTTACATGGGAAATTAATCGTCAGCCCAAAGAGCTTCCACAGCCCCTCTGCTCCACCACACAATAGTCTCTTTGGCTGCCGACTCTTTCGGGTTTTGTTTTCTAAGAATAGTTGCGAAGGCTTCGAGGGTAGCAACAAAACTTGGCAGGGACAAGCCACCAAAGGTGAACACGTGTGTCTGGCTTTTCTTCCACACCTCTGTTTAAACCCATTCATGACGTGAATTTTCTAGGCTTGGATGGGGCGTGGTTCAAATCCAGGTACGGCAGCATTGGCTTGATGAAGCGGAGTGACCCTGGCGTCACCTGCAAACACTCACACTGAGCAAACTCCCCCTCTCACACCCCAGCCTCACCCCTCACAGTCAGAACTTGCCTGGCACAATAAAGGCCACCTGAAGACTACAGGCACCCAACACTGAGAGCGCGCGTGCATCGAGGGATTCCCAGTTCTCTGCCAAGACACCTCCCCAGGACTAGAGGTCAGTCCGGTACAGGAATCAGAGCCAAGTGTAGTCTAGACTCAAGGAAATAAGCCCAGTGCTTCAAATCTGGACGTTAATGGGTGGCTTTCCAGTAATGAAGACAAAACAAAGTCAAAACAGCTGATAACAGCTCAAAGTAAACCACGAGGAAGAGCACAAGACTAAAGCTTTGGAACAGCTCATCGCATCTGAGAAAAGACTTTCCGAACAAAGGAGCCAAAAGCTAAAGAGGCCTTTAAAGCTCTGACGCTATGCAATTGCAGCTGAACGACAAAAAAAGCAGAGTTGGGCGGTGAGATGCCTCGGCGAGTAAGGCCTGCCGCCGAGGCTACTGGCCTGACTTCGAGCTGCCTCCTATCCTCAGACCTAGTATACATGTGCACACATACGTGTGTGTGTGTGTGTGTGTGTGTGTGTGTGTGTGTGCATGGGCATACGTGCAAATTACTTAACAAGTGTGATTAAAACTGTCTTAGAGCAGTATATCTGCCTTTTCAGTAAAGGAAAAAAATGAATGAGAAAGAGAATAAAAAAGGAAAATGGCCTTTGTTAAGCTGCAGGCAAAACGCCTTCGAGGCAGGAAAGCACAGTGTAAGCTTGTCTTTACCCTGATGACGCCAACAAACATGGTATCAAAATCTTTCACCACCCTGGAGTAGAACCAGAGTAAATATTTATTTAACAAATCTGAATTCTAAGTCTGGGCCACCTTATTTCATTAGATGAGTTTGTTTGCATTTGCCAGCAAGAATGGAGAAACATCACATCTTGTGAGATTTCTCCAGCTTCCAAGGTCCGTCAAAAGGAAAAGGACACTGGACGATGACTTACCCCCACCGTTTCACTATTAGGATGAAATGAGCCCATACACAGTGTTTGCACCATGGCCGAGCACGTGGGTGGGCACTCCCGGGACCACTGTCCTCTCACCGTTCTGTAGATGAAAACGCTGAGGGAGAGTTGGCAGGTCTTTCCCGGGGTCACACAATCAAAACATGGAGTGGTCGCTCACCTGTCACTACTGACACCCTGCGCTTTCCCTAGAGCTACCTGGAGCATCTCCCTGAGGCCCTCTAGAGAATACAGAGGCCTGCTTTCAACCCCCAAGGGTGCCCCAGCGCCCCCTCTTAGTGCCCTGGAGATGAAACATGGTTACATTTTTGATACCCACTGTCAAAAGCAATTTTCTCAAATTATTTGTTCTTCTAAAACCTATTTCCAGTAAACAGCCACTCCTACAAATAGAGCTAACCTTAAGGAGGAAAAAAAATAAAGCAGTCTTTGAGGACCCAGGATTTGTTCCGCAGTCCTCAGAGTGTTAATACTGCCGCTGTGGAAATCTACTACGTGAGCAGAAGCTTCTACACGGCTACATCAAGATGCCGGATGTCACTGTATCCAACCTGAGAAACACTGGCAGCCTCCATCTTTCAGTTTTCCTCTCCTTTTCCCCCTTACCCTCCCTCCCTCTCTCCCAGCTTCCCTGGAAGGAAATGGTCAACACAGCACAAATATATCTAGCAATTGCTGCAGCAAATGACAAAGACCATTTGCTGAGAAACCACATTGTTTTAATATGACCCCCAAATGAACTCTCCAACAGCTCCTCCTCAGATGGCCTACAAAGGCCGTTGCAGTTCTGCATGCTGTTCTCTTTCACGGAAAATATTTGAAGTCCTGTTCGCTGTAACTTTGCTTTTCAACATTCTAGTCAACTCTGAAGCAAACTGCTAAGAGAATCAGAATCTTATCCTTAGCGATGATACGTGGAGACGTGGAGACAGGCCATGCACTGCAGAAAACACAATGCGATCTTGACTAAGGAGGGAGAAAATGGACACTGAGTAGAGCAGAGAGGTGGTGAGCAAGCCACTGGGAATCAGAAATCCGGAAAGAAAATAGGATTTACTGTGATTCAGTCTGGAAACTTTTAATTGATGTAGCACGAATCCAGACAGTTCTAAAGACGGGCTAATGAGAAGATGGAGACGGGTTAACAAGCCGACTACTAGGTAGTCATGGTCTAAAGACACCAAATAGCAAGCGATAGAATGAGTCTCATTTCATGCTCAGACCACAAGGAAGACTACATTCAACCATAACCGAAGTTATAGGATAAGAACAGCTGGTGATTTTAGTAAAAATTCACATTATCAAATAAGATGCTTCTATGAGGCCAAAGAACAAATTTAATTGAGCCTCTGATTGAACTGATTGTGACAGGGTAGACAACCAAGCCTCTCACAATAAAATTAAAGTTTAAAAAACAGTTCTCAGGAAAAAAAAAGAGGGGGTAGGGAGACTTAGTAAAGATTAAATAAAAAGAGGTAGAGACCTGCCTCCCAGACACTGTAACAAGATTTGAATAATTTTAAGATTCTATTATCAAGAACTAAGCAAACTGCCAGGCCAAAGCACTGGACAGTGTGTAGTTAGACCCAAACTCTATAAGAGAGCAGAGCTCAGAGACTTGGCCTGATACAGATCATTGGGGCTTCGGAAAAATTAAATACAGATAATCAAGATATAAACATATGAAGACAGAAGGCTTAAAGATATAAGCAGATATGCTGGCTCTGTATTAACTAACTGGTTGAATATGTAATTTCAATTGCACAGTCAATCCATGAAAAAATACTACGAAGTCCTTACTTTCTGGGAAGTGGTGGACACCTGGTGTGTGCCTTGTAAAACACAGAATGCACATTTTTATCAACAAGTAATGTCCCATTGATCTGTACTGGGACCATCCAAAAGGTTTTTAGGGGATGGAGTACTGATGAGACCTTTCAGTGGGAAAAAGTGCTTCTACACAACTGTGTAGACCACAGTTTGCACACCCAGTGCTCATGAACAATCTGAGTGTGGCAGCAAGTGTCTGTGACCTCGGTGCTGGGTGGAGACAGTGGATCCACGGGCTTCTGGTCAGTCATCACACACACACACACACACATCACACACATACATACATTACACACACATCACACATGTACACATCACACACATGCATACATCCATATATGTATTGTCCATATACATACATACACACATACATAACATACACAGACACATATCACACACATGCACAAATCACACATGCATGCACACATCACACACACACACACACACACACACACCTGACAAAGCTACAAATCAAAGAAAGCCTGTTCAGGAAAGCAGTGGGCTGGATAATTCAGCTGCCCAAGTTCTAATTAACTTAGTCTTACGCCATCTGATGTTGCACAACTTTGAACCACGGCTGTATGCCTTGCACAGTTTCTCTTTTTCGTCTGGCTCAACTGAGTTCCTACAACGCATTAGGGCGCATGCTCAGCCATATGCTGCCAACCCCCACACGCTGATATGCCCACCGAGCAAGTGCCTGACAAACTTGAAGACCATGGTCTCAACAAACCTTGGGGGAACTTTTACAAGGATGACCCAGGGAAAGGTAAGAAACTCCCCTGTGGTGGGCTACTAAGGGCTTAACACCAAACACTCACTGGGGCCAAGCTTGCCATTGCTTTTACCCATCTAACTACTGACTACAGTTCTGCCTTCACAGAGGTCATCCAGGAAGCAGCGTTTTCCCCCTTACTTTCTAACTCTTCCCTGTCCCCCGCCCCAAATGGCTTCCTTTATTAGACACCAACTTTACCCAACAAAAGTGTCCTCAAAACGCCTGGCCCTATATTCAACAAAACAACTTTTGTAAAAGTCTCCCTCTCCAGACTGTGGTAGTTTTCCCCGCTGGAATTGTATCAAACCCGGCTCCACCAGGAAGGCTGTTACCTGCCCCAGTAATCAAAGGACGCTGTGTGATAGTGATCTGTGTGCAGGAGCTGCGGGGCCCGAGCTGGCCGGCCATGCCAACACTTCTTTGCACTTTCTGAAACTCCCTCTGTTCTGACCACCCGTCGGTAAGGCTCGGATCCAGCGCTTTCATTGGCAGCGGCTACTTGGCCGTGCTCCCCTCTTTTCCAACCAGTGTCCCTAACTGTCCCTTTCAGCTAAAAAAAGGAATACACAGACCTTCGGTGCTTTGGCCACACTCTCCTACATCTTTTCCTCCGTCCCACGTTCCGGTCAGTCTTGCCTTGTCCGCCATGAAAGTCCCGAGGGACACTGAGACCCAGCCTTCTGGAATCGGGGCTTTGAAATGCCTCCAGCTGTATAATCACAGCACCCTGAAGGTTTTAGAAAGCAGGCCGAGGAGACACTCATTTTGTCTTAAGAGATTTCATTGCTGTGAAGCCAGAGGAGACTCTGCCCCACTGAGAGGCAATCCCCGCCCCTGCCTGCTGCAAACGCGGTCACTACTAACCATCCTAACCGAGTGCGCGATGGTACTCAGCAGCCAGCATCCCGGAAACAGCAGACCAAACAAATCCACCGTTCTGAGCTAACACGGTGCCACTCTGCTTAAAGGGGTGTGAAAGAGTTTAAGGAGTTGTGCTTCTAGGATGGTTAGTTCTAACCTAACTTTTCCCCTTACCTCCCTAACCCCAAGTCTTCCAAAATGCCCAGTGCTAGAGACTTCGGTCAATGAATGCATCATCTTTCCAGACTCATCTCATTTCCTGGACCGCAAGATTAATAATCTGAGAGACGGCCACTCTGCACAGGGTCAGGACGTTAATGGTTATAAATCCGGGAGTAAGTAGGCCACCTGGCTCTGGCCAGAAATGCCTGACTGTCATGTATCTATGACCACTGACTCATCCCACAAGCCTTGGAGCACTTATTGATCACTGGGGACATGCCAGGTCCTTGTTGGGTATTACAGCAGAGGTCAACCTGGGCTATAGATGGATGTAGGCTCCATTCCAAGGTCCTACCAGAGCACGTTAATGAAGGTTAGGGCTTGCCTCCACACTGTGCAATGACAATGCAAAAGCATTTTAACTAGCTGTTCAAAAGTTCTGAATCCCCGTCTCTGGATTCACCACCCTACCCACAGAGGAAAGCGGGGAGAGCAAGACGCCACAGCCATTACTGCTCCCAAGGCAGGCAGGCAGGCTTATGTGGTGGTCAGCGTGTGAGCACTTCAAGCTCACCACCTTAGCGGTTTAGGAAGGCATGCTTTGGTGAGTTAGCACCAAGGGGAACGGTACTGGTGTGATACCTGGATGAGGCAATGGGTTCATTTCAGAGATCCCTCTCAGTCTTGAAGGACATCTTCATTTTGTTAGGCAGTGCGTTCCTTACAGATCAAGGAAAAAAAAACACAGAAGGAAGGAGTCCTGCGACCAGTGACCTGACTAATCACAATCGTGGCTACAAATAAAGGACTATATCAAATGGTTCCTGGCAAATTGATTTCACCCCCAGAAATTAAAATTAGGAAAATCTTGAAAAAGCACTAAAAATATATATATTTGAGAAAAAGATGGAGGGCAGGTAAACAGTCCTAGAAACAATATTCACCTATGTTGCCCTTGCTGAAGAGTTTGGAGAAAAGCCCAACTCATCTGTAGGGACTACAGGTACTGGCCTATACTACCCTCACTGAAAAGGCTCAGGGTGGGCCCACCTCGCCTAAAGAGGCTTTGGGTGCTAGTCCTGTCACTTACTGTGGAGATCTTGAAGCTAACACCTCCCAAAGTGGGGCTCTGAGAAAGACCCTCATGGACAGACTTGGCTTTCCCCAAGTTTGGTGAACCACGTGAGGAGACTTCCCTCAGATGCTCATGGCTATTGGCTACCACACAAAGCCTACAGGACTCAAATGGCAAACGATTGTACTAAGACGCTGCTACGCTGCTCGGAGCTGGCTTGCACTTCTGAGTTTGTCCCCTTAGACAGGAAGACCTGAGGGGAGACAGGAGGCTGAGTCCCTCACACAGCCTGAGCATGAGCACCCAGGCTGCCTAACTGGAAGGAGCTCAGTCCTCTCAGGCATCAGGCACAGCAGGAAGCTCCTCTGGCTCAGTGGGCACCACTGAGGGACTTGTCACAAAGCAGGGTTGCTGCTGCCTTTGGAGGACTAAGAGGCGGGCTTCCTGTCCCCTTTCCAAACCACTGGCCAGAGGCATCCCTTTTCCCACTAGGGTGACCCTCCGTCCAAGGACAGCCAAAGGATGCAAGAAAGTCAGCTGTGCCTTTAACCGGAAAGTATGTGAGTGGGAGACAGGCTTCTCAGTCAGAAGGCAGAGAACCTGAGATAATCCGGTAACCTGAGTGAGTGCGCCCCGCCATCTGGGAGATGCCTGCTCTGTGGCTTCTTACTGCTTAGAGCACCCACCGAGAACTTCACTCCTAGGTCTAATTTTTGAGTTCTGGTCCTTGACAGCACAGAGGTCCTCACAGGGAAGGAGAGCACCACTGCAAGCATAACTTCCTGCTCTAACCCCTCTTGTCTAGTACTCTCTTCTGCCTGCTCTAAATCTACCCGAATAGACTTAATTAATTCTTCGTGTACCCCATGCTTAGTGAAGACCGTTTTCAAGACTTTAGGACAGAAAATGCAGCGAGGGCACATTATTCTCTCTCCAGAACAGTTCACGTCTAGTGCTTAGGTTTCGTGCTAACCCCAGGTGAGTGTGCAAGTCTTCCTGAAATACCACACGGAGGACTCGGGCACCACACTCGGGATGAACAGCGGATGTAGAGGCTGAAACGATACCGTCAGCCTCAGGTGCGAGGAGTGGGGGGGTGGGGAGGCACGCATGGTAAACCTGTCATTTCTGGACCTAGATTAGTTTCTGTCTCATCAGGGAGATTTCCAATGGTACCATCCATCCTCATCCTATGGGTCTGTCTCTCCATCTTACACTTGGTCCTGGGTCAAGGGGCCTTGCATATGGAGCCTTGCTAGATTCGCTCTGTATGCTAGTCTTAAACTTCTACAATTAGCATATGCATCCACTGAGGCTGGGGGCCAGGGCTGTGCCTTCCACAAGCTTTAGAGCCGTGCACGGTGCTTAGGTGGAAATGCTGTTCAGCTGACAACACGCATGGGGGAATCTTCCCACTAACTTACTCCTCTTACTCTCGTGTCTTCAGGTGATGCTGCCTCTGTGTCCTTGGGACCATAGATTCAGAATTTACTGGAAATAGGTGAGTATTAAAGTCAGAAGGCTGACAGCTCCTCCTGGACTCAGGAGGGGATTTTTATAGCTGTGGGGTAAGCTACTGTAAGCTTTGAGTACCATGGATGGATCAAGCAAACCCAGAGTGCTGGAACCTCAATGCCTACTCAGAGCATGGCTCCAAACACTGGGAACTGGAGAGGTCCAAACTGCTCTCTCTTGTCAACTGCCATACTTGGTGGTTTGACCATAAAGTTTCTTGCCCTTTTAAGGAATAATGGCAAATAATTGGCTGTGTTAAATGAAAAGTTACATTCATTTCAGATTCCTGGCTTTACAAGGAGAGGTTAATGGTACAAATTACTTCTACTTCACAAGAACTAATCATGGTAACTCATTAGAGATAAATTTTAAAACATCCAACTTAATAGACATTAGCATGCATACACACAAAATATCTGTTAGGCTTCTGCTACATGTTTACCATTTCTAAGCATGAAATTTGACCTTTGTAGGCTTATAATCAATCGGGCAATATGAAAAAAGAAAGCTTATGAACTACTAACAAGTTATGCCATTGGGGTTAGCAGCATGTCATCACTACTAATGAACGGACTGATACTGAGAATTTAATGGCTGGCAGTGTTCACGATGCAGTAGACAGAAGCATTGTGACTTTCTTTCAGCCAATGAGGTGAAATATTATTGAAACTCTCTCAAGATAATAATGTCCCTAAATGTCTACTCTGGATAAATTTAGAGCCAGGGCTGAGCTGTTTGATAGTTCAAGCCAGAAGAGCAGTTTAAAGTTGGAATCTTACAACAACACACCATCAGACAAGATACCACAGTCCAAGCACGCTTGAATCTTTTCCCCTTTGTGTATCTGGGTTGGATTTGCTGATAAGATTGCCTTGCCTGTAGCACAGGAGTTTATAATACAGATAAAGCAGGCACACCCTACCACTTATACATACCACTCCAGCCTTAGAATTACACCAGGGTGCATCAGATGAAGTCACAAGTTCTTTAAAGCCTGGTTATTTAGATAATTATTTCAGTCTTCCATTTCACTGGAGCTGTAAGGATACAGTCTTCAAAAACTCCCCAGCTACGAACAGCACTAACGAGAAAACGTGGTGTCAAGGACACGGCAGCGCCACCTTTCAGGGCATCTGAATGCACCCAAGGGCTTTCGGTGACTATGTAAATGGATATTTAAACATTCGAAACTCTTGGGGATTACTCGTTCATCTGTTCAAGATATTTATATTTTAAAAGCGCATTTTCTGACTTTGGAAGGATTTAAAATGAAGTAAATTCCCATTGTATATCTATGATAACTTGACCTATATCTGACTTTTCAAGAAATACATAGTGTTAAAGTGGAACATGCTTTGAATAGCCAATTATTCCAAGATGGGTTAGTCCAAGACAATAGGTGCTCAGGTACATCTCCAACCTGACTATCTTTGCAGCTCAGGAGTAAGCCGGACTGGGGCTAAACCCATTTAGACTGATTATCTCTTCTGTCCTACTTCCCCAAACAATGACCAGTTCTCCCATTCGTGGGCACAGGAAGGCCTGGTGAGAGACAAGACAGCACTGTATGAAATTACCTCCCAGGTGAGCACAAGTCACTGCAGAAACTTGTCAACTTACATCCCAAACCTAGTGATGCGGGAGGCCAATAAGACCAGCCCTCGCCCAGCCTTGCCTTTTTCTTTCAACCAGGAAGTTGATGTTAACAGGGGAGCTGCTGAAGGAGTCTCCCTCTGAGCCTCTGGCTGCCTCCTTCCTGGCTTCTACAGAAGCAGAGTGCCATGAACGCTCCAAGAGTCAACCCATCTGTCTTAACGTCCAGCATCAGCCATAAAGGGAACTAACACAGCTCCAGTTCCTAGATCTCTGTTAAGACACTCCAAGGCCACGCTCATGCCAGTAGGCATCCACGGCAAACACACACACCAGGAGACAGGTTTACCACACAGAGGGTAAAACCAGGACTTTAACTTTGGCAGTGGATTAAAAAAAATCTGGTTTTTCAAGCTAGTTTCAATAGATATTCTGGAATGTTTTCTCCTCATTGACACATACAAGTCATATTTGTGTGTGTCATGCACTCAAGGACTTTTAGTGACCAGGTAAATGGATATGCAAATATTCAAATTTCTTATTTTGGGATTACCCATACAAGTCTCCTCAGTGACATATACAAAACAAAATCCACAAATCAACCACACATCATAAAATATAGGTCTAGAAATTAAACATCAAAAAGCTATATGAAATGAAAAAAAGAAAATCTCGAAGATTCCTGAAAGCTTCCAGTAAAGTTTAAAAAACTATGCAAAACCCTACAAATTGCAAACAATAAAAGCAAGGGCATGTTTAGTGGGAAACTAAAAAGGCTGGGGACTGAGTCACTGGTAATAGGATGGTCAGTGACGTGAAGAAAACCATGCTGAGAATTAACCTGGAGGCAGGGACTGAAGCAGATACCACGGGTGAGCACTGTATGCCGGAATGCTCCGCACATCCTACTTACCCTGCATTATACCCCAGGACGGCACCACCCACAGAGGAATGAGCCCTCCCATATCAATCATTAGTCAAGAAACATAACCCACATCCATGTCCACAGGCCAGTAAGATCGTGACTCTAGTCTGTATCAAGTTGACAAAAAAAAACAAAAACAAAAACAAAAACAAAAAACTAACCAGTGCACCCTACCAGCTCAAGGTGTGTAAGAAGACCAGATACCCTACCACAACCTGTAGAATTCCAGAGTTTACAGGATTAATCTCTTACATTGGAGTGGCTAGATTATAAATTTGGATTTGAAATGAGCCCTTACAGTAGATGGAAATTAGATTCTCTGTAGTGTCTTACACTATGTAGGTGGTGTATGTTTAAGGAGCATTCCAGGGACGGACAGCGGTTAAACACCCTGCTTCCCATAAGTAATTTCTACTGGGAGCAGATCTTCAAGTCAACTGGACACAGAGTTCTACAAAGTAACCCAGTCTTAATCAAAGAAGGGGAATTAACTTCATTTGCTAAAAAGGAAAGAGGTTGAAGACATCTCTAGTATCAGGTTTTAGTATCAGGTTTTTCTAAAAAAAATACATATATTTGAAACTTTTTTTTACTTCATTATACACCAAGATTTTTAAGAGCTCAGACTTTCCAGATACAAGGGTTTCTAGAAAGTGACTTGGAATCGCCCTCAGACAATAACTGCTGGTGGTTTTATTTCAGGCATGGGCTTGTGCCAGAAGGGCCTGACATCTTGATGAAAAGAACGCCGAGAAGTTGTGAGATTTTTTTTTTCCCACCAGAAAAAAAAAAATCCTCCCGAGAGAAACAAACTGCGACCGTCCATTCTGCCACACCACAACATGGACACGTGAGGGAAATTAGCGTTTAATATTAATTTGTCTCTGCTTTTTTCCCTGCCTCCGAATGACTCCAACTTTCATTCCTGGCTTGGCAGGCAAGCCTGCCTCGTGCACGAAGCACACCCCACCCCCTACCACTGAGATGTGGTGTCTTGCTTTGACCTTGATCCATAGGACCAACTCTGGCAGGGTTCAACGGTCCTGCTTATGTTTAACTGAACTGCCACTTGATACACTGCAACATCCAGCCTCTGTGGTCTATCTCCCACAGCAGGAGGAGAGTAGAGGGGTCTGGGACGGAGGTGAGGGATGCACCCACTCCAGTTAAAGAGCTGAACAATGGAAACGAGACTCCGCCACCGCTGCCTTACAACTTTGCAAAAATGGCCAACTGGGAAGGTAAAGTGAAGGTAATGTTGATAAGGTTGACCTCATGCTCCCTTCCCTTGCCTTTCTGCCCCAATTCTTTAAATTTCACCATTAGCAAAGCAGCCCAAGCAAAACCTGCTCTGCCCAGTGCTCTGCCCACCCACTTGTTGCAAAGGCAGGCAAGGCAAATGCTAAACACAAACACACACACACACACACACACACACAAGGCTCCCTTCTTAACGAGAGCCAACCTGAACTCATTTGACTGCCTCTGATTCATCGTTCTCCTGGGAAAGCTAATTCTTGGTTGTTCTCAAAGAAAACATGAAGTTCATCAGATCCAATTTTAATTCACCGAATTCCACCCTCGTTTAAAAGGAAAAAGAAAGAAAAAATAAAGAAGTAAGCTAGGAAAGCATACGTTTTAAGTAGGAAATAGGTGCTGTGAGAGCCATCAGCGTCTCCGGGTGGGCAGGCTGCCCAGAGAGCTGCACAACGTTTTTTTTGTCTTTATTTTCTCCCGCACTTAAGTTTAACATACTTGTTTAGCTGCTTTGGGTGCATATTTTCCATGATACTTTATTGGACCAGAAATTTAACTATCTTCTCTGCGGGTCACCCTCCTCCTGAGTATGATTTAGGTTAATATGCCTGCCCTCTGAAACTGAAATGCCTCTTTTAAAGGAAGTTGTAAGTCAGAAAACACACACACACACACACACACACACACACACACACACACGAATAACAATACATGATGTATTCATTAAAAATCATGTCTACTGCTATTAAGGAAGGCACACACTATGGCTTGTTACTCAGACACAGACTCATAGTTTCCGGATAAGTTCAGGCCATCTGTAAACGTAAGACCCAAAGCTTTGCTTGGACACCACTGTCATTCTCCATTCATGTGTGTCACAACATGTCAGTCTTCTTAGGAGCAGAGCACTTCTGCTGTTTGGGCTAAAAAAAAAAACCATCCTAGCTCTGGAATCAGGGATCTTAGCTTTCTATTCAAAATGACTGCAAGTCAACAGCTCTAACTCACCGCATCCAGTTCATACAGATACTGAGCGGCAGGCTCCCACATGCTGGAGCAGAGCCTCTCTCTGAAAGGTCAGCCCGGGTGGGAACAATAGAGTCAGGCTGGGTGAGGGTGGGCTGATACCCATATGTAATCACTGACAGGAAGCTACTGAGAGTTTCTTCTGGTGACCACGTCTTACCATTTTTGAGAATCTTAATAGCCTTGGGCTTCTGCTCTCCCTTTCTTCAGTCCAGGGAGACCAACCTGCAAAATATGTTTAAATACAGTAGACATATTGCTTCGACACAGGTCAGCAAATGCAAAAAAAAAATGCCTCCTCAGAGGTCACGGACAAATAACCACTGCGTGTGCTGAACACAGTTCCGTGCAAATTATTCTAACCACTGGAGTCCCTGCAAGAGCCTTCCAAGTGGTCTACAGGTTTACATAGGGAACAAAGGCATCCCTGGCGCCTGGCTCTGCAGTCCTGGGCTATTCTTAGCGTCTTGTTCATCTTTAAATCGCAGTTCAAAAGGTTTAGCAACTTAAAAGTAGACCCGGGTTGATTAAAAATAGATTGTTTTCTGGCAGCTCTTTGTTCCCAGACATACTACTGGCAGTATATTTGCAATCAAGACGGCAGAGCAAGAGTCAGCCTTCCACCACCGTAGTGTAATGCCTCAGTGTGGATATTTTTGGAAATGGCTCTGCATTACATAACCTTCCGTGTTTAAAAAAAAAAACCTACACAGGGGAGAAAGTCAGGAATATACACCATAATGCACTTCTCCCGAAACCAAATAAACATTCATGTACAAGCTTCAATGGTTCACCCTCCAGCTTTTCTCCAGTAGAGCACAACTCTTGTGTTAATGTAAGTTATGGCAAAATTAAGATGAATGGAAAAACTAAAAGTTCTCCAAACGGGTATCAGAGGCACCTAGAGTTTCCCTATAATGCATATGCATAAACATAAATGCAAATCAAGTTATTAGCAGCACCAGAAAAAGTAGTCATTTATTTCTAATGCTCCCGAAGCCCAAGTTCAACTGCTTTATAAGCAAATACGGAGAAAAAAGTGTTTCAAGAGCAAAAGCATGAAAAGACCCACGGCCGCAGCAGCAACCCTGAAAGAGTAATCAAGTGTGAGGGTTTTATACAGGGTAAGCGTGCATGCACCGAGTGCATTTAATGCAAAGGAACAAAACAGCTCCTAACAATGAGCAAGAGCAAAATCAACCGCACCAGCCAGCAAAAACCCCACCCCTTCACAAAAGAATTCATTTCTCTCAACTTCTGCATTAAACAAAGGAGTGTGGAGGTCAAGTCGAACCCCAGCCTTAGCGCAGCAGGAGCGAAATGACATAATTTCTCCAAGGTGTCACCTTAGCTCTAAAATTCGGAGGGAGAAAGCATGAACTCTGCAAGGTTGAAGGGTCCAGCTTTGAGCAAGGGACCGACACAAAAGAGAAAGCAGCGCTCCCAGCTGGGGATGAGAAAGGCGTATACTTACAGACAAAAGCCCCGCGCCCTGCTCACTCTCTCTCCTCTCTACACCTGAAACACAAATGTGGATGAAAAAGGGCATCATGCTAGAAAGACAGCTGAGGGAGGGGGAGGGGAAAGGGGTGGAGGAAGGGGAGGGCGGAGGGGGGAAGGGAAACAAAACCCCAACCCGCTGCTTCACTTCCAAGAAGTGCAGCCTCGGAAAAGGAGGGGAAGGGTTCCCTGCCTTGCGCGCTCTCTCCAAGTGTGTGTGCCTTGTGTCTCTCTCTCCTCCTCCAAACCAGCCTCTCAATCTCAACTCTCTCTCTCTCTCTCTCTCTCTCTCTCTCTCTCTCTCTCTCTCTCTCTCTCTCTCTCTCTCTCTCTCTCTCTCTCTCTCTCTCTCTCTCTCTCTCTCTCTCTCTCTCTCTCTCTCTCTCTCTCTCTCTCTCTCTCTCTCTCTCTCTCTCTCTCTCTCTCTCTCTCTCTCTCTCTCTCTCTCTCTCTCTCTCTCTCTCTCTCCTCCCCTCCCTCCCCCCTTCCCCTCCCACCTCCTCCTCTCTCTTCTGCTAGTGTACTAGTGAACAATGAGCTAATTCTGATGGAGCTGGCGCGCGGCCAGCGCCCCAGCCTTGCTGCCACCGCGGAGCCAGACTGCTTACTCGGCAGGAATCGGCGGCTCGCGGCCCCGTGGGCGCGCGGCCAAGAGGCGCGCGCTCCCCGGCCCCCGCACCCGCGCCGCCGCCGCCGCCGTAGGGCACTAGGCCCTCGGGGAGGTGGGGACGGGAGGGACGGGAGGGACGGGGTGGGGTGGGGGGACCGCGCCAAGCAGCCCCGGGAGCGGAGCAGCGCACACTCTGGCGGGCTCCCCGCCTCGCCGCGCGGCGGCTTTGCAGACAAATAAGGAGGCGGAGGCGGCGGTTTGGGGGCGTGCCAGGCGCGGAGGCGGCCCGCCAGGGAGAGGCGGTGCAGCCCTACTGTAATAATAAACCTGCGGCCGGGGCATCTGAGGGAACCGGGGCAGCCGCGGCCCCGCCGCCTTCCCTTGTGTGTGCCTGTCCTGAGCGCAGCAGAAAATGGTGCCCGCGGCCGCAGCGGGGCGCGCACGGAGGTCCCCGTCCCAGCCGCTGTGCGAGCTGCCCGCGGCGCCCGCCCCCGAGCCGGGGAAGCCCGAGCCTGAAGCCCGCCAGGCCGGTGCAGCGCCTCAGGGGCTGCGGGCAGCGGGGCGCACGCGGTCGGTCGCGGGCACCGTCCCCACTCCGCGCTTGCTCGCACGCTTTCCGCCGCGCGCACGCGCGCACACACAGACCGCAAAAGAGCGGAGGCCCGGGTGGGTGCAGCCAGAGAAGCCCGGCCGCCCCAGAGCTTTCTTCTTCCCTCGAGGATTTCAAAGTTCTCCTGCCCAGACCCAGTAGAGCAACTTTTCTTAAGTTGGGAATTGCTTGGGGGGTGAGGGCGGGGAAAACCTGTTTTGTTTCATTTTTTGAATTCATGTTATAAAAAAAAATCGACCTTACGTAGTAATGCAATAGCTCAAAAATGTTGCAACAAACTGTGGGCGTTGCCAAGACAGCAGGATATCTACCATACTATGGTAATTGTCAGATGTTTCGCGGCAAAGATTAGTGCCTAATTAATTGCTTTTCCAAGGCGTGGGGGAGATAAAGGTTCCTAATAGCTTCTAAATTTTCTATCTATATTTTACTCCTAGTCTTTAAAAGGAATGTTTTCCATTTCAACAAAGAAAGGACAGATTTACAAAGCTCAATTTTAAGAAGCCATATGTTTACAAACTGTCTTTTTTTTAAGAGTCAAGCACTGGGTACAGAAATAGTAAGCCTTGAGAAATAATCTTTTACGAGCATAATTCTAAAATAATATAAGCTTATTGGAAGACTGGAGTGCTTTTCAAACTACAAAAGCCACGGAAACAACAAGTACCTTTCAGAAGGACATGATGCGATGCTTGGGAAGCCCGGGAGATGGCTCTTCATTGAAAAACTGACCATCACCACTGCCACCATAACCACCACCAGGAGTGTTTTGGAGGGGACAGTGGGAACTACTCGGGAAGGACGGCAAAGAACAAAGGAAAGAAACTTAATTCATCAAAGCTCTCCGGTGCATTCATGGTCAACGTTTTCCCGTCAGGAAAACACTGGGAAGAAAGTGTGGAGATGTGGAGAGAAGTAGTCTAGCTGTGGGAGAGGAGGCTGTTTCTCCTGTTTGGACCCCTGGAAGGCTGGTTAGGGGGATTTCACAGGAGAGCTTTGCCATTCAGCCCAAGGTCACTACCACACCCAAGGTTACCAAAACCCATGCCAGCAACTTGTCAGAAACTGGG